ATTGAATCCCTTGGTAACGTAACGACCAAGGTTTCGAATCCAACCTACGATCGATCGTCGTATCGATCTTGAGAGGCGTGTATGCATATGTATATATGTGTGTGTGTGTGTGTGTACTCGTGGTCAGAAATTAATGTAGAATTCAATGAATTTCTTTTGTATCGGATATGGATTTAGCGATTTAGCCGCGCTCGTTTAATACGGGAGGGGGATAGAGTTACGCTTAAACTATGCGCAGACTAAGCGCGGGTTAGATTAGATTGGATCCGAATTAGGACTAGGTTACTCCTTGAGCGAGATTGCACGTGTCTTAGACGTGGGGGGGCTTTTGACTTACAAATTAGATTAGACTCGATTTAAATCAAGCGTGAGATAGTGTCTCGTTTTATCTTTATTCTCTTTCCTTCTTCTTCTTCTTCCTTTTTTTAAATTGTTACCGATTTTTAAATAAGAATTGTAACAATTTTGATTATTGTGAAACCAAGATATTCTCGATACGTTCTATACGAACCATTCCACGGTGATGGAAAATTTAATAATTTTAAAGTTACTTCGATAATTTATCGTTCGAAAGACAAAATGATAGCAAATAACTATAAGATATTGTACGAAAAGCGGATCAATTGCAACGAATAATTATTCAAACTAACTTAATTTCTGAACTCGAGTTACTTTTCCAACTTTGGATTAACTCTGCCATTACACCGATATAATCATCGCGTACATTTTTATCCCATTTAAAATCCATCTTCTTTCTTTCCTTCTGTAAATTTGCTCGAACGGAAACGAGAGCGATAAACGTGATAAACTGGATTTGTCGAATGCACGCCCTCGTTCGAACATTCGAAAACCCTTAAAGTATCGGCCTCCTTTGATCGCATAAAATTTTCCTCGACCTCCTCCCGAGAAAAATCGTCCCGGCCACCACATGAAGCGAGCCGTCGTCGTGCGGAGAGCCACAGCTCACAGGGAATAACAGCGTTTAGTGATTCGTATTCCAAGGCCATCTCTAAGGATTTTTAGGACGGCTCTCGGAGGTGGCTCGTTCTCGGTCACACGTCGGTAAGGGAATCGGTACGTGACATTAAGCAGTAATGCCACACGTGGCAGGACGACCGTCCACAGACGGCACGGAAACTTGAAATAGTATTACGGTGGTTGGCCCCCCATCCACGTCACGCCATTACCGCTTTTCCTCCTCCTCTTCTCTTATCCTGTCCACCTTCAAACGGCGGCCTCATCCCGAATGTACAGTGTAATATGTCACGGGCCGCGTGACAAAGAGCCAAGGGGAGGGGAAGGGTTGCAGAACAGAGAGGGAATATAAAAAAAAAAACGAATGAATTTTTCCTTCCCGTGAATTTTAATTGTTCGATTTGGACAACGAGAGAACGAGCGAAGGTGTGTATATATATATGTACGAGATGATGGAAGAAACGATGGAAGAAGGAAAAATAAATGAAATAATAGAAGGAAAAAAAAAAACGTATGGCGACAAACTGTCGATACCGGGCGCGATATCCCCCGCAATATTTTTTACCTCCCTCTTTTTTTTCCTCTCCCTCCCCTCCTTTTTTTTTCGTTCGTTTTCATTTCACAGTTTAATTTATAGAGTGGATAACTCGAGCCTCTCGGACATACAGTGACAAGTCCGAAACGTTGCAGAGGAGAGAGAGAAGAGAGAGAGAGAGAAAGAGATAAGAGAGAGAGAAACAGAGTGGAAGTTGTTTACTATGAAAAGGGGTTGACCAACCTGTGTTTACTTTCGACTACCAAGGGAGGGAGAAGGGAGGGGGTGGAGGAGGAGGAGGAAAAAGAGTGAAAAATGGTTTTTCCAATATCGTTGAATGATCGCGTGTACAGGGAGCATCGCGTGAAATTTATCTCGTCCGCGGTGCGTCCGCAGCCTCGATAAATAGATCTCTCGATATTTCGCTCGATTTTATACGTAAATAGACCAAAAATCACGAACGCTCGACATTCTCCCTTTGGCCGAGGAAACACACACACACACACACCACGCACACACAGATATATATATATATATACACACACGTGGGCGGAAAATAGACGCGTAGCAGCTCGCGACCTAAATAGAGGTGTACACACTCCACCGGCCTCGTGTACCTTGCCTAATTCCCTAGCGACAGACAAATATGTACTTCTAATTACCATCGATATTAATTACGTGTTTGCGAACGTGAATCATTTTATTAGCGTTTCGGGAACTCAAGTTGAATTTTCGAAAACAAGGGTTTACCCCGATATCGTGGGCGAGAGGTAAAAGAAAGGGGATTTCAAACGATCGCCTCTTTTAAACGCAACTTAGATAAATATATCTAAGTATATAAATGTTCGACGTTTGCGAATAAATATTAGATCGTGCGTTTAATCGAAGTATCGCGATTCTTAATTCGTCGTTTCGAACCGAATTTCGAAAGGGGAGAACATCGAAAAATTTATAGTAAACTTAAATGGATGTATGAATTGTTTTGTGAAAATTTATTAGCTAATAAATATGCCAACCAATATGGTTTTTTTTTTCCTTTTTCCTCCGAAAACGAAAAATGGAGAGGAAGGAGGGAAAGTAAAAAAGAAAAAAAAAATGAAAATCCGCGGTCGGCTGACGTTTTTGCAATTTGTCAGGAATTTCATTCCAATTTTCGTTCTCAAAGAGACACACGGAGAAAAGATTAAAGTTTTTATAGAAAGAGGGAGAGAGAGAGAGGGAGAGAGAGAGATTGTGAATACATATATGGATCGTGAATATTGCGTGTGTATTGATAGGGGAGCAAAAAGGAAACGACCGAATGTTGCCATCCTTTGTGAAGACAAATTCAAAAGATGCGGTTTCGAGGTTTCGCACACTTCATAAACCACATGAGCAACGTGAAATCTACCTTTTCACGTATTGAATTGTAATAATCTTCTTTTCGAATGGATAATACGTGAATCGCGATAAATTTACGTAAAGAATCTTATTTTGAAAATTATCATTTAATGTGCGGAAGAAGAGAAGAAATCGATTGAAATTGCCTCGAAATTCTGTCGATATTTTAAATTTCAATCAATTATTATTAACATTAGAATTAGAATTATTAGCTTATATAATGCGTATCTAAATATTAGATTATTGCACGTGATCGATTTCACAAATATGGAAAATTATTCGGAATTTATTAATTAAATGTATCGTTAAATAATATTTGTCGCGCATCAGATTCGTGTTTGGACCTCGATTAAATATACAAATGATAGAAGAATTCGGTCATTTCATTTGCGATTAATAATTATACACGATATTTATAAAAATAATTTTCAATTAATTAAACGAGAAAACAAACTTTCTTCGATCTTCCAAACATTTATATCTTAAATATTATCCCTCTCCCGTCCATCGATATTCGAACGTTCTCCGCGCAATTATATCCATTGAATTGAATTCGTTCAACAGGCAGCAAACACACGAGAAATGTGTTTAAACGACGACAACAGGTTCCTTCTGGAACGATTCGAGATCACCGGTTAAGACCGATTCCATTGTGTTTTTTCGTGGTTTTGACCAAAGGTTTATTGCATGTGCCAACTTTGACAGAGGTCTTTATCCAACGAGCACGCGGGGCATTTATCGCGTTCGCCCTCCGACAGCGAACAGTCTCTCCTTTTTAACAATGTCCCGGCCGACTTACGGCCCGGCCAGCTTTAACTTACAATCAGTATTCGCTTTGAAGTAGCCCGCATACTTATCGCTTTGATTGACGTCCCCCTTTTCGTGGTGCTACTAAGCGAGAAGCATATTTACATGAAAATAAATGCACCTTGCCTGGCCAGGCCGCGTTACGAGGTAAAGAGGGAAGGGAAGGGAATCGAATCCGTCTCGAAAATTAAAGACAAACAACGAAAACGAAATATCGTTCCTTAGATCGACCATCTGGCGAGAATTATTTCTCTTAAGATGCGATCATTTTTTTTTAATATTATTATTATTAAATTGTCGTCATCTCTTTCGCCAGAAAGACCGATGAAAATACGAAGAATTTTTAAAAAAATTTATTTGAAAAAGGTAAGGTTCACGTTTCACGAATTTTTTTGTATTATCATTGTATATCACAATGTTATATTATAATAATGAATAATGTTTTCATCTCATCCGTATATTATTATACGAATCTTGTATTACGTTATATTATATTATTCTGGCACGCGTACATCGAATAAAATAATATTAAGCTGTTCCAAAATGTTGTTCGTTTATTTTCGAGATGCAGAGTGTGATTTATTTTTCACTGTTATTAAGATATACAGTTTGAACTCGACGATATCTCGAAGATATAATACGAACGTTTGAAATAGACCATCGCAATGACTAATCATCTTTTCATCAAGATCGATTTTCGATTCGAGCCTCGAATGAATAATAACGCCTCGTCTTTCATTCCACCCAATTCTCTATTGGCCCAACAAATTATAGATCGAAAGAAATGGATTTTCGAATTCTTTATTCTATCCACGATAACCGATTCGAGTGCATCTGTTGATTTGAATTGTTAATTCGAATTTAATTTAATCCACATCGGGTTTTAGATCACCGATGAACTACATTGTGGTTATATAGGTGACTACACGACTCTGAACGAAGACGTTCCAGAACCCGTTATGCGGTCAGCACTTTTATCTGGCGTGCAGAATCACGCGACGAATCGATTAAACGCGTTTACAAAGTGAAATCTACATTTCGAAAAAAAAGACGTCGACAGCTTTAAAAAGGAATTACAAAACGCGTTATCCGCCGTGTTACATATAAAAGAAATAATTTAGAAATAATAAATATAGATAAAGTAAGATACGAATTCTTGTCAATGATAATTTTGAATCACCGTAGGCTTAAAATATTTTGTTTCGAATATAAAAAAAAAGAATTTTAATTTATTACATTAATAAAAAAATATAAAGATTTTTTAATCTCTTATACTCATAAAAACTAAAAAAAAAAATACAAAAGTAAAAACCTGCATAACGAAGAAAAATAAACAAAAAGAATTTTTAGGAAGAAACGATAAAAATGAATTCATTACCCTCCTGTTACCTAACAACTCCAACAAATCGTCCACGCAATCGTTCCATCTCCCGCCAAGAAAAAGAAACTCGTCCAATCTAAAAACCGTGGAACCTGGAAAAGAAGAGATGTTACCGGTTGAATAAACGTGTTGTCCTATCGCGAAATGAAGAACAAACATCACGGTTATTATGATAGCCGTGGAGGTTCGATCCGAGTAAATAACCGGCAAACAAACTTATCGTGAAATCGTGATTCGCGAACGCGTTTTGCACATAATAGCGAGTCATACGGTACGACACTGAAAATAACGCGGAAAACCGCACCGTAGCACCGTAGCACCGTAGCGGCCGGCTGTATTGTCCTACAAATATAGCCGTGGCCGAGCGTATGGTGCAACTTATATAT